AAAAAAAAAAAATTAAAAAAAGGAAATTCATATTTTTGAAAATGACTTTGGTTACAGGTCTTTTCTCAGGGAAACAAAGCCAATCAGGAAATATTCAGAGCATATGACCAGAACATCAGCTAACAGAGGGCTTCAGTTGCGACAGTTGTGTTCACTGCTGGCAGCACAGCAGTGAATACAGCCAGCACAGAACAGTTGGCGTGCTCTAGAGAATATAAGCAGCTGCAGCAAGGAAAGCAATGGTGGAAAGCAACAAAGGTGATTATTCTTTGTTTAAGAGCGTACTAAAAACTAGCTCAGATCGGCAGCCATTTGGGCGGTTATGTTAGATTGTGAAATACACAAATAATAGAAATAACGCCTCAACTTCTTGCAGAACTTTTAAAGCAACTAAGGAGCAGTATTTCCTGTGAGAGACACCCATTAAGTGTGGACTTAGGGTTTAAGCTTAACTTCATATACATTTTAAATGTTCAAAATAAGTTTTATAACCAAGTTTTTCCTAGCTCAAAATTGGATTTGGGAGTGGCTTTGCATGCAAGCGTGATTGACTAAATATCGTTGAAGCAAAGAATGTGTCCTGCCTTACTTAACTGAACCTTTTTCCTGTTACATTTGTCTACTTAATTCTTTACTTCTATAATAAATTTCTATATGTACCAAAGGAAAGAAAAGGAAAAATTTCTGAAATATATAAGGTTGTAGAAAGTTCTGTGGTGATGGGTCAAACTTTTCTAATGGTGTGATACTTGGACTTCTAAGCTCCTCATCTATGATGTCTTGCTTCTTTTCTTTCTGTAATATTCTACTTCTACTAATAATGTGGATCTTTGGACTTTACCATTAGTCTAATATTTTGAAACCTCACGCTAGGTTTTCAGGGTTCAACAACACTGTTTTTCGATGTTTTCTCACAAAGGAGAAGCAAACCATCAATTTTTTTTTTTAAATAACCAGAAGATTAATTACAGCTGTCTAACAGTTTAAGCTTTTGAGAACATCAGGTGATATTTCTTAAGAGAACAACTGTAAATAGGACACCCAAAGACCCTCTTGGAGATGCAAACGGCCCACAGCGGTGTTGTAAGCACAGGGCAGTTACAGTAATCTCCTCTGCACACAAATTAGCCCTGAGCATTTCCTTAGTCCGTGGCACTGCAGGTTTCCATCAAGACCAAAGCAACACTTAGCAGAATGAAGTGGCACAGACTGCAGAGACCTACACAAAGACACTATTCTGCTAAGACTGTGAGGGGCCTATGTTGCAAAACAAAAACAATACAGGCCGAGTATGCAAGAAAGCATAACAGACAGTAAAAGCCCATTAGCTCTGCTGATATGTGCACTCACTACAACACTTCATGATATATTAGCAAATGCACTGCCCTGCTCCTCCGCTTCCAGAAAACGAGGACAGGCCTAAAATTAGCCTCCTTAACTTGTTATCTTATGATGGCACAGAGCAGATGTTAACTGGCCTACACAATTCCCTGACACGCAATTGATGATGAGGAATTTGCATCACACAAGCATAAAGCAGCACACAAATCCTAGACATATGCATGACTAGTTGAAAAGCCATTTAAACACTAGATCCCTTGTTAGATGACGTTAGAAGAAAAATTCTTCTTATTTTCTTAATAAGTGTAAGTGTTAATGTGAAACAATCCACATCAGTTAACTATTGTTTGAAATGCTCCAATGCTACTCGGGATGGATTGAAACATCTCGATTTCTGTAACAG